CAATTCGCAGTGGCCCAACTCGCTGTGGCATATAAATAAGGTGTGTGTGTGTGTTTGTGAGTGTGTGTGTGTGTGTGTGTGTTTGTGCGTGCGTGTGAGTGAGTGCGCACGTGTGTGGGTGTGTTTATGTGTGTGTGTTTGTGAGTGTGTGTGTGTGTGTGTGTGTGTGTGTGCGTATGTATGGGTGTGCGTGTGCGTGCGTGCGTGCGTGTGTCTGGCCATCATCCACGGAGGTTTTTAAAACTCTGGCTTGATGGACTAATCTTTTGGGAGGGTTGTAGCAACAGGGGCTATGTCGGGAACCACGTTTAATAGGGTTGTCTATGAAGTCCAACATTGAAGCGGCACAAAAACACAAATCTAAGCGTCTAGTCAGTGTTTCTCTTGGCTCGGCACAAAGAGGGTAAAAAGCCTCCTTGGCTCAGTAGTTACCGAGTTCTTGCGTGTTTACGTTTCACACGTCTCACACACCCACATACCATAAGCGGGGTGCTGCATAAAGATCAAAGTGTGTTTGTCCTCGAATGCCGGTTGGGCAAACTCACATGACTGGACTTTATACCACGGCACGCAACGTCGACTGATTACACAACTGCACGAAATATACACGGTACAGCTCGTAGTCCGTTTTGATTGATTAGTACTCCAGCCGCACGCTACAAGGTGAGTTTTTCTTGTGCGTATTTGATTGACAACCACCGGGCTCCCCACAGGTGCCCCCCCCCCCATTTTTGAACCAGGTGGTCTGCTTCTCAGCTGTCTTTCCGGAAGGGTGACGTGAGGTCAACCTTTAGAACCTTCGAGAATAGTTAATGATTCCAGATTCCTAGAAAGCGTTTCTCGATTTCCTGGTATGTATTTCCTGGCAACACATTAACGAGTTGCAGCTGTGCAGCCCCATAGCGGAAAAAAGTGCCTCAGCCTTTTTTTATATTCAAACATTTCATGGCTAGACATGGTGACGGCACACTTAAGTTACATCAACTTATATTATGCCGCCATGAACACAGAGGACGAATACATCATTTTCACTTGAGTTAAGTGAGGAAAGTCGTGCAAAGTGCCTTTCCAAATGGTACAAGATCGGTGGCTAAGCCTCTACTGAAACAACCGAGCAGGTGACAATTACGATAAACCTAACAAATTGCGGTGGCGACATTTTATTTGCCCTCTGACCCTCAGTGGATGGAAACGATGGTTCTAGATTGTTCCCGGGCTACAATAATTATTATATTAACATGGTTAAATATGCTACAAGTTGTTGTTTTTTGTACAAGTTCTCTAGTTAAGAGCAATACATGAATGTCAATTTAGGTCACGATGTGTCTACCAGGGACAACTTACTTGTCTTACTTGTCTTCACGTCAACAGATTTACCATGTGTCTCGCTATATGTATGTTACACTGCCGTATACTGGGCAATCTACGTGGACAATACAAAATAAGAGCAAAACTAAAGGCACTGGAGGCGTTCTGAGACCGTTCCTGTAGGCGGTTGGTTCTAGATTGTAAATGCCAAATAACCCGTTTTATTTGGCATTACTCTTAACTAGGACGATGGGCGGCACAGACTTCCAGGCATATGTGGCCCACTCCTGGCGTCACGTGTCAGGTGAGGTTAAACTGGGCCGACGTGGCTGTCGTGATACGGTGTCCAGAGAATGGCCTCTATGGTTTCCAGGGGTGCCAAGATTGGCAAGAAGTCCATACGAATTTTACGGCATACACACGATCCATTAGTCGGAAACATACGATCCTTACTAATTTGATGACCTGTGCCGTGATCATCAAATTAGTAAGGATCCGATAGTATGTTTCCGAGTGATGGATGTATGCCGTAAAATTAATGTTTTCTTGTAACGAATCGTATGAATTACGTAAAATTCGTATGAATTACGTAAAATTCGTATGAATTACGTAAAATTTGTATGAATTACGTAAAATTCGTGTGAATTACGTAAAATTCGAATGAATTCTTTGGCACCCCTGTTTTCGCCTCCATACCTCCGTTTTGCTTGTCACAGTGATGCCGTCTTTGTTGAAACGTGCATGGCATGGTTATCCATATACATGTGCCATTCCAATCCGTGCGGATCTTTGTAGCAGCTTGCAAAACAAATCCTTCTACTTGTGTGATCCCGAACAAAGCATCGAAAAACAATCATTGTCTAGACTATTCAACCAGTTCAGAAGACATGCGGAGTAGCAGCACAGTACAAACAATAATAAGTCAGTGTAAACAGAATAGTTTAAAAAATGTGTGTGTTGGGGGGGGGGGGTAAAAACATCACATTATACTAGTACTGTACCTCCTTTTTGTGGGGTCAAATCAGCCTACACTGACTGGGTTTTTATTTACGCATTGTACAATTCATTATGTATCAAAATGAGAGACGCAACAAAACTGCGATGAACGAAGATCATGCTAATAATCTTCGCGAGGTCACACATTGCCTATTGTTAATTACAACAGCAACATGTGGACAGCGGCAAAATCTCGATACTGAGCAACCGGTGCTAAGAAAAAGTGCCCAATATTTGTAGCTTTAGGAAACCGTATATTGTTTTTGCTCAGTTTCTTCTTCTTTCTCTTCTTCTCCAGACAAATAATGTTAATGACCTGGACCATACGTCTGTCACCATGGTAACTAGTACTGTAGCAGTGTTGGGTTACATGTTGTAGCAGAACAGAGTTGGGGAGGCCCTGGCCATATACATGAATGTTTTTGAGTTAGACTAAACAGAGCAGTTAAGTGTGAGGTAGACCATGTGAAAGTAAACGACTGCATTTGCCTTGCAAATGTTACATTTCTAGTCTACATACATATTTGCTGGTTGTGGTAGACTTCTCTGTTATCGGACAGCTGACTGTTGCAAATTGGCCTGGCTGTAGCAAGTCCTAACTGTGACTGGTACAAATCCAAAATTCTTCTAACTTCTGAATACCTGACCTGATTCGGCTGCAGTACGTCCAATAACCTGCTGCATGCAGCGAGCCTGCCTGGTTTAATATTATGCGACAGCTGCCTATTTCTTCTACTGACTGCAGACTATCTGGCGGCTAGAAGCCTATTTGGCTGATTGTCTGCTGGTGGAATCAGCAAACCTGCTTGGCTCCGTGCACCTGATAGCTAAACATGAGCATGCCAGATTGTTCGTAGGATTGTTTATTGTTTTTTATCATGGCAGCCGCGAAACCCCAGGCTGCTACCCAGTCGTTACATGCAAAGCTGGTTCAGTGTGGCTATGTGATAACCCAGCCTACGGCAAGTTGCCACAGGCTAGCTTGGTTGCTGGTTGCAACGTACACTGGATGCCAAACTCGTTTCGGGCCGCTAGCAATTCCCTTCGACAGCCAAGAGCCCGTCGCCCACCGGTCTAAATTACCGCTACAGGGAGACTACTAGTACTCGGGGCTCGGGGGGAGTTTGGCCCAGGCCCTTACGCTGAACCCTTGATCCTGTCTATTGCGTCTTGTCACTGAACCTACATGTAATAACGGTCGTGGATCATTTTTGGAAATTTTCCAGAGATGACTTTCTCCTGCGTCTGGTGCAGCCTTAGCTGAGGAGCTTTTTCGTTTTACATGGCGGTTGTACAACTAAGGCTGCAGGGCTAAATCGTCTGCTTGCAAAAGCAACGTTTCAACATACTATTAGATATAACCATGGAAAAATAACAATATATCACGGAGGTATGGCTCTGAGAACTCTAGGTTTTCTTTGGCCAATAAACCGCGGACAGCAAGTGGCATTCAGTTAATTGGAACGTTTACGTTTCATACAGCGATAGTTTTCTCGTTGTTTTCATTTGTGGAAGGGGAGCAATTTTCGGGATAACTGCATTATCAAGCCACAAAGCATTTCAAGAAAAAGCTTGGCTGAATGATTAAATAATGCAGTCAAATGTGGACCTTGCTTGTGCAGCGAGATTAATCCAGTATACTAGTAGTACAGAGCTGAAATGCGTTGCAACACAGAAAGAAATTCCACTGACTACTAGTATCTGGAGCCTTCGTCAGTCTTGAATGGCCAATCACGTGATCTTGTGGACTTGTAACGTCAGCAATTGATCTGGACAGTATCTTCCTCTTCCTGACACATTCTTCGGCAGTTGACACCGTCATCAATCAATCAATCAATCAATCAATCAATCAATCAATCAAGTGGTTTATTGGTAAAACAAGGAATTTGCAGCCACAGCCTGAATTACATCCTGTTGTACAATTAATTCATTTTAAAATTCATTAGTATACAATAAAAATCATCAAAGTTATTTACAGTTACTAGCATTAAAAACTTGGTTACACATTAAGATCGAAAACACTGATTGATTTTATAAAATTGCTACAGGAGGGACAGCATTTCTTTGACGTTCACATAACAGACATTACATACAGATAACAATTATGTGCTCATATATGATTATTTAAAAGCGATGTCATATATATGGGATACTACTGTTCTTATAGCGTTCAGTTCTAGCCTTCACACAGTCAAGTAGATTGCTGGAGCGTGTGGTTCGTCCAGTAGTGTTCCCACGTGTGGGTGGTTGATAGGTTGACCGGCCGGTGACTCCGGATGTGGTGATTTACGCATTTCTTGCGCTAGTAGTGAGGGGCCCACACCGTGTCTGAAAGGGGTTTAACATTCTGAACATTGGTAGTATACATGTATTTTGTGAGAGGAGTGAGAAGGAAGCCACTATATCAGGGCACTCCAACCTTCGAATTCTCTCAACCGGGACGGGGGGCGGTACCGACTTCCGACGAACTTTTGGTCAGGGCTAACGTCACACGTGGGTAAAAAAAACACGTGTCTACAGCACTTTAAAGTCAGATAGCTGAACTCGGTCGAAAATTACGGTGAGTCAATTTCCTTTGAGAAAGAATGGAGAACAGTTAACTTTTTTTATTATGTAGTTTATCAGCTCTCATGAACTTTTATGGGCTTCGTATTACATAAGATGGCACAGCGTTTTGCACGAATGCAAAGGAATGGTAACACTACCCAAACACGGGGAGTGAACAACAAAAGCCGAGAGAGCATGCAACGGCAGTATGCACTTCGCTGAGGAGATTGTTTGTCTTCCCCTCAATTGTTGACCCAATTTTACGCTGACAAGATTGCGAGGACGGTGTCAACACAGGAACGTCCCGAATCCGTGACAGCCATACCGGACTCTGTTTGTTATTATCGTTCCTGCTGACAGGGGAACGTAGCGGGAAACCCCGTGGAAAGTTTTGAGGTACAGTAACTACAGGTACCCGGGTGTACTTGCTTGTATACAGTTGCGAAGGGCATTAAGATTTCTCTGTTACTAAGATATCTAGTATCCTTAGTGTTGTGCTGCACCAGTGTGCAATTATTACGGGGCAATGAATGATTTGTTGTTTGACAACTGCTATTACTGGTAAACCTCGAGTGGACCCGTTTGGGTTGAGAAGTCTCGTGTGGGTTTGGGTTTAACTCTATTAGACTAATATTTAGAGTACGGAAAGGAGTTGGTTCAGGGGTTCAATGTGGTATTCACGGTTCCGTTTGGCGGATGTCTGGTGGGTTCACACTGAGTCCGGATGTCGATAAGATGCAAGCCACCTCCGCACTGACACGTTAGAATGTACGTGGGGCCCACGCAGGGGTGTGTGACTGTGTCTGTTGCGTGGCGGTTGGCGCGGCTTGGGTCTGTGAGTGTCTCAGCACTTCTTTCAGGCTTTTGTTTTGTCTAGCTTTACGGTGTGCATGTGGTAATGTGTTGGTGTTACTTAGATCTAGTATCAGTCAGCCAACTGCACTACGGAGCGTTATACGGGAGAATTCCGATGATTTACAAGGGACGTTGTTTTTATCGGAAATTCGATGCCCGCGGTCATATGCAAATTAGATATGATTAACAATGCCTACCTACTGCGCATGCCCGTCAGCGGCGTCCGCCATGTTGATTTCAAAATCAAAGCCGTCAGGGACGAAGCCCGAACGACAAACGGAAGGGAGAGTTCGCAACTTCTTGAACCAAAAACTAGCGGAAATTTCGAAAATGTGTGTATGACGGTGTAGTATATTTTGGCGTCCAACGCTTCCAAACACCGAGTCGGTCAACGACAACACATGTTTGTATTGTTACGCTGTCGCGTCCAATCAGTCGCGCCGGCTGCTTTTCTTTGTTTTCTGTTGTTTGATCAGAGCATTCTAGGACACAGTAGGTGTGACTTGATAGCGCCTCCACAGAATTTGTTTGCCTAACGCTGAGTTGCGTTGTAAATGTGGTGTTTTTCTTGTTTCAGGGGTGTGAGGATCTGATCTAGCGTTGAATTATGCTGAAAGGTAAGATCACTAAAATGATTCGATGATATAAAAAAGTACGATCGCTCGTTTGTTTGATATAACGTTGGCGTAAATTATTTTTGGATAAGAATTGTACAGCAATGATTTACTGAATCAGTCCATGTAGTTTTGTCCATGATAATGTAGGGCTATTGTGAGAGTACTGACAACATGGCAACAGGTATGAGCCACGTAAGACAGATAAGTGTGTATCAAATAGGAATTGTTCATGTAGAAAATTACAGCTCAAATATTCTGACTTGTTGGTTCTTGAATGTGGTAGCTCACAGAGCGATTGTATACAAATTTAACGTAGTGCAATTGAATTCGTTTCTCAGAAGTTTGTGTGTTTTTTTAACAATGGAATTATGAATTTTTCATGGTGATTGTGTTGTGTAGAATATGTTATTGCTGATTATTTTCCAAACCATGGAACGGTTGAATGGATTTTATGTGAATCTTATGAATTATTAATTCATAGGAACAAAGATACTAGATTAAGTTATTGTGTACTGGACTGGAAGGACCCTATTCATAGTTTGTTTTGCATCAATATAATGGTTTGAGAATACCATATATGAAACTTACAGTAAATCCACACACATGGATTGAACACTTTCATCATGGTTTTCTCCCAGATAGTATTCCTATAACACTGGCTTGTATACAAGTAATTTCAAAACATTGTGCACTTTAAAAAGGTGACCAAAATGGGAGAAAGGCCCCTCTTTATTACTATTCAATGCACACAAAGTGACAAACCCCATTAGATCAAAGACTGTTGATAAAACAGCACAGAATCCTTGAAGGCTGCCCACTTTAAGTGCTGATATGCAGCCTTGGTGTCTCAGTTACAGAAGAACAATGCATACCAGAAATGGGCACTACTAATCCTGTCTAGGACAGGCCCTTTATGGTGTTGTGAAAACAGGTCTATCCAGTTGCACCTGGCCTGTGTAACTTTACACTCTGTTTGCATACATCTTACACAATGACAGGGGGCAACTCAGTACGGCCTAGCTTGTCCTCTCGGTTAATGTACAACAGGCAGGCGGCCCACAAAAGTTGTTCAGTAAGAAAACTTTTCTGGGAATTTTATTCAAAATTCCCTGAATCCCAGTGACCATTGAACACTGTATAATTTACAGCTCCATTGTTAGATAAGTTTGGCTGCCATTGGCTGTACTTTGGAGTTTTGATGATTGACGGTATTTGGAATGTTTACCTTGTCAGATAAGCCAGCCTGCTTCTCACATATGCAAGGCCAGAGGTCACCTGAGCTGGCGTCTATTTACGCACACAAACCCATTCTTTGTTGTTCAGGGCATTTTACCAGGTGCAGTATGCGTGAGGCCCCAGGGGTTTTTTCACTTAAGTATTTTGTGTGACGTATCACAACTGCATGAAAAAAAAAGTCATGGATAAAATTTTGAGATTAAATAACATATGAAGTTATTGCATGAAACAAGATACATTATTACTGTTCAACTGTGTAGAGTGCTTTTATTGGACATAGAATGCAACACAAAATACTATCTCTCCACAAACCACCTTGAACCTTGAATTCAGACAAACCAACTAAAGCCGAACGATTACCTTACATAGTATCATAGTATATGTGCTATTAAATCTCATGCGCAGCATAAATTTAGCAACAGTCCTTAGCAACAGTGAGTGAGTGCATGAGAGTCCTGTACTTTATTGCATTGTGTGGTCAATTTTCAACACAGGCACAGGCAAACTGTATTATCTTCTAAGATGTCACCTGTCATCTCTGGCCATTAGCATTTGATTTTGTGTGGGATATTAGAGTACATATGCATTCCACTGTCTGCACCAATCTTTGGAGGTAATACTTTGCAAAGCTCTGCAAGCAGTATCCAAGGACATCACATGAAGGATGAACAAGCAGCTACAGGACAAGAGGAATCACCAAAGTGCTAATATGCACAGCCTGATACTAATTGTTTGGGATTTTACATAAAGAAGAACACTGTGTACAGAACCAGTGCTTTATCCAGAACCATGCTCTGTTCAGAACCATGCTTTATTTGGAACCATGCTTTCTTCAGAACCATGCTTTGTTCAGAACCATGCTCTGTTCAGAACCATGCTCAGGCATGATTCTGGATAGTCTAATGCATATCCAGAACTGCGCCTTGGGCAAATCTATGTTCTGGGATACACGGAGACTACCCAGAACCATTGCCTGATCCTAACCTTAACCCATTCAGGCACACAACTAGATAGGAGTCACGCTTCTGAATACAATCCATTGAACAGCATTCAGGCACTGTTTTGGATATAATTTCAATACAACCCATTCAGGCATAGATCTAGGTAGGCACGGTTCTGGATACAAGAAACATGCTGAGATGGAGTCTGTTAATTCCTGTGCAATGAACATGTGCAGATAGCTTCTTAATGCAATTGTATCTATGCTTTAAAATAGGATGAGAGATTATCAAGAAACCACAGTTTCCATCTGCATATTCTGTCATGTATCTGACTATTTTCATTGGTGGTTTTAGTAAATGACAAAGTTGGAAGTCAATACTATGATGGGCTAATGCCACATGCAGATGATAAAACAGCAACATATTTTGCCAGTTACAACTTTCATGTCTGATATATTTCTATGTATTTGCATCACTCCCTCAGTTCTATCATAGAGTTAAAATCAATAATGGTTTTAACTCCATGGTTCTGTACAGCTAACATAAAAATTCCACTGTTTCTGTCAGTTTGCTTTGCAAAATTCTTTGTTTACTCTCCTTGTCTGTGAATATTAATGAGACTGCTTTGCATATCTGTGAATATTAATGATAATACCTTATTTGGCATGATCTAGTTTGTAGCCAATCAGATGGGACTGATGAATATTCATGAGCTTACCTTGTTGAGTGGGTTCTTGTTTCCAGCCAGCACCTAAGTACTGCTCTATAGTATTATAAGTAGATGCAAGTGCTCCTTAATGCTAAATACATACAGCAACAAAAGCCTTTGGTTGGCTAAGAGGACTACTCAGTTGAAATTCAAAAAGGCCCATCAGCGAGATAGATTGTTAGGAGTAACAATGTTTTAAAGCATATTAGTTTTTGACTGTACCACCAGTCATAGTTGATAATGTTACCAAATTGTATTGCTTCTCCCTTTTTTTCTGATTTGAAAAATAAAAAAGGTGGTTGCATGGACAACATTAGCATTCAGGATATGAAACAACACCAACATATTTTTGGAAACAGATAGATACTAGGCAGCAAATTTTCATTGCAAAAGTTATAAACAAGTGTCAAATATACAAATACAGCCAGAGAATTAAACCTTCTTTTGTAAGAAAACTGAGAAATCATGCTATAATTTGAACATTTGAATTTACGTGTGTAACATAATTAACTTTAAATTCACTGGCGTACCTTAATAATTAAAGTATCCACTTTGATTATTCTTTTTTATTTGGAAGGCCAGTTAATGGGGAGAAAACAATACAACTTTATCATGAAAGTTCATCTGTGTTGCTTGTAATCATAGTAAAACGTTGAACTTTTTTCCTGATGAAGGCGACAGTGGTCGCAGAAAATTTGATCACTCTGTAAATTTTCTGTAAATTCTCTCTGTAAATTTTCTCTGTAAATTCTTTCTGTAAATTGTGTGTTGGAATAAAGTTCAATCAACGTTTTACTACAATACAACTTTGTGGTAACTTGTTACCCATACTGGGCCCCATGTCAGGGCCATCCAGAGTCCAACAAGTTGGCTGACGTGTTTGGCACTCTCACACGTAGCCTGCAGCTCAGGTAATGAAGGTCAGCCTTTGATCTGCCAGAAATAATCACTTGGGTCTTGGAGTGAAATTTGATCAGGAGGTTGCCTGGAGGAAGACGTGTGTTTCTCATATAACCAATTTACTACTGTTCCTTTTTAGGAATCAAAGCTTCACCATTGTGGAATATGCTTTGAACAGGGTTCTCACCAGCATGAAACAAAAACTTAAAGCTTTAACTTCCAACACTTGTTGGAACACTCCCATAGACTATGGAAATGGGACTTTCTAGTACCCCAAATGGTGCCAACACAGATGAACTTTCATGCTAAGGGTTCTCACCAGTTTTACACAGAGTAGTGGTTAGGCCACACCAATTTGATTTGTTGGTTCTTGGATTTAAAAAAAATGAAGCAACAGGGCCTGGAGGAAGAAGTGTGTTTCTCATATAACCAATTTACTACTGTTCCATTCAGGAATCGCAGCATCTCCATTATGGAATATGCTTTGAACAGGGTTCTCACCAGCATGAAACAAAGACTAAGCTTTAACTTCCAACACTTAGACTACGGAAATGGGACTTACACGAAATTGTGCCAACACAGATGAACTTTCATGCTAAGGGTTCTCACCAGTTTTACACAGAGTAGTGGTTAGGCCACACCAATTTGATTTGTTGGTTCTTGGATTTAAAAAAAAATATGAAGCAACAGGGCAAAAACAATAAAAACAGACCTATAATGTATTTATGAGTCTGTTACACCAAGAGGAATGAAGATGGAAGAACACAATGTTATTTTAGACCAAAAGTACACGTTTTATTACCATCCTTGGATTTTTTTGCATATTATATCAGTGGTCGAAATACTTTTTTTTCAATGTTCTGCAATATTGCAGAATGTCAAAATTTTCTTCTGCAAAATACTTTGAAAGACTTCTTCAGTATGCAAAATTGCAGGTTACAGTGCTTAAAATTTCTTCTGCGACATTGAAAATTTCTCTGCAAAATGCAGACTGCAGATGGGTATTTTCTAACACTGGATACGACGAGATGTTTTTGCTGTACGTTTGTTATGTGGTAAATGTGTACACGCATGGACATCCTGCAACAGTGTCCATGTTGGCAGTCTTTTTCATCTAAGACAGATACCAGTATTGTCATGTTTCTATATCCTGTTTATATTGTTTCCATATAATAAAGGAGACTGGTAGAAGGCAGTTGTATGAATGTATCAGAAACATGGTTTGGTGGATAGACCACAACTATAATGTTAACTGTTATACAACATACAGACTGTACATGTTTGGTGGTGTTTTAGACTGATGGGTGGTTGTACCAACTACATGTATACCGCCTCATTGCCAAAACTGGGTTTATCAAATTTATCATGTTAAGGCCACACCAATTTGATTTGTTGGTTCTTGGATTTTTTCAGAAAAAAATGAAGCGACAGGAAAAAAAAATGAAAACAGACCTAGGCATCCTGTGATAGCCCCAAATGCTATGATGGGAGCCATGAAGTCAACATACCAGGCTGGTTTTTAATTCAAACAATGAATTTCAAACTTTTGATCAAACAAGTTGCGTTGATAGGTGGAAAAACTGTAACATCAGAGTCTGAATTGTTTGGGCCAAATATGAATATTTTGGAGTTGATTCAGAGGCCGAAATGTTTTTTTTTAAATTTTTTACAAATCAGAAAAAAACGAAGCGGGTGAATCTGTGAGCAAACAAATTAAATTGGTGTGGCCAAACAATGAAATCAAATCCACAGTTAACCCTTAACGTGATGCCTACATGTACTAGTATCATGTATGTGGCTGGCTTCACAGAATTTGTGCCGGCTTTGCATGCTACCGGTAATGTTTAATGCACACGTTATATCTTCCTTCGGGCATCCTTCACCTACACATCTGGAGGAACAATTCCAGTCTCCTCAGTAGGCCAATTAGCATTTGAAAGGTCTTGGTTGGAATACTGCTATTTGTAGCATGTAACATCCATGTGGGAGAGGGAGACATCATGTATTTATAGGTACACTGCAGGATATGGGTTGATTAAATCATGTATGAATAGGAAACTGGTGAAAAACAAGAATATTGAGTGTGTTGTCATGATAGGCATCTTTTGCTGACATGGCATGTGTACTAAGTAACCATGAGGTACAGACAGTGTATCGTTTATTCACATCCATGCCGAAAATGTCGCGTGTAACATTAACATGATAAGAAACCTGTATTTTACATGTATTTATTTGTGCTATACAGGTGATAGAAGATATTTATGATTATTTCTTTCAATGGTAAATTATGAATGTTAAATGGTGCAAGGATCTGCAACATTTTTTTCAATTCAACAACTGGACTGCTGGTAGCATATTTTAACCACCACATTAATTTTGTGATGGTAAGAATGGACAATGGTTATAGTGTGTGCCTGAATGCCCCTATGAAATTATTTTCTCTCATTATTTATTCATGTCAGTGGGTAACGTCAGTTCCCATTATTCTGCCAGTTATGATGAGACTGCCATTAGAACTGCATCAAAAACACCTGTGGAAGTACTAGTATTAGAACTGAAGTGTGCAAACTTCAGGAATTGCTTATGCTGCATTTGTAGACCTTAAAAAAAAGTCACCATGTCGAAATTAATTTTCTTCCTATTGTCCCAGCACTGTCCCAAAAATAAATTACACTTGTCCCGAAGTGAGGATGAACTGTCCCAACCTGTTTTTGGAAGTATGTTCACTTCCAAACACACTATAATTGCAGAGTAGACAGGATATTTGGGGGGAATTTTCCGGAATCCAAAAGCCGGGACGTGTGCCTGATAAACAAAAGAAGGGCTGACATTCTGATGTTGATTATTTTCTACTCTCCCAAAAATGTCCCAAATTGTCTTTTAGTTGTCCCAGCCTAAATTTTAGTGGTCAGTGGCCATTGCACCACCTTTAATTTCGAGCCCTGCATGTTATGTGGTACTCTTACCATACATGGTGAAATCATGCAGGTTGATGTTGTTGTTGTTGTGTTTGACTTTTTTTTTTCTTTTTTTTTGGGTTTTTTTCTCTGGCTGTTTTGGCAGTTATTGTGGTTGGAAACATTTGACAGAAAATGTAGAAACACTTTTTGATGCGCATGACTTTTGTCAAATGATGGTTACAAGTAACATGCTGGTGCGAAAAAGTGTCAATATATGGCAGATGATTATTGTATTGTAGTATGCACATTTATGATTCTGAAAGGCCACACCTCTTTAATTTGTTGGTTCTCAGATTTTTTCAGAAAAAAAAATGAAGCAACAGGGAAAAAAAAAAGAAAGAAAAACAGGTCTAGGCATCCTAGTATAGCCCCAAATGCTTCGATTGGAGCCATGAAGTCAACACAGGCTGGGGTAAAAGTTTAAACAATTAATTTTGAACTTTTAATCAAACCACTGCATTGATAGATGGAAAAACTACAACATATGGGCAGAAAAGGACTTTCCACAACTGTTGGGGGCAACATATGAACATTTTTGAGTTGATTCAGAACCAGAATCTTTTTTTTTGTTTGCATTTCATCCAAAAAAAATGAAGAGGTGAATCGGAGAACCAACAAATTAAATTGTTGCCCTATGGCTGATTAGCCACGGACTTATGATGACGATAAAGGGTATCTGTTGAAGGTCATTGGGCTTTTGTATGAATTCAGAAAAGCAGATGGCCCATTGTCCATTATAATACAGTAATCATGGGTAGCTTTGCCTCAAGCGATTAAACTCAGAGACCTTGGGGAATGAAAATAGCCCTTTTCATGTCGGTGAAGGTTAGACATAAGATACACGATGTACGTCAAAAAATAGTTACCCAAGCAACTGGATATGACTTCCAGAATTATATCCAGTTGCTTGATGAGTTACCGTAACTGTTTTTTTTTTTGGCGTGTGGCCGTTTTCCTGCTAGGATAACATTGTTTGGATCAAGCCAAATAGACTGGCGAGAGTGCTGCATACCGGTTCACTGGACTTGGATCCGGACTTGTAAAAATGTTAAGGTTCAAGTCCAAAAAAACTTAAAAGTCAAGAACCGAGTCCAGACTTATTTCCATAAAAGACCATTTTACATACCCCTTTTCTTTCCAAACGACATAAAACTTTCCATAGATTGCAAAATCTTTGCTGCAAAATGAAGAAAACATTGCCATCAAGCATCGTCAAGTACTGGCCTCCATGTTATGTGGCCAAAGTTTCACCCAGACAACATTGCAAGGTTGCCAACATGCAATTTTGTATGTGTCATGGTTTAGGTCCGGACTTACAAGTCCGAAACTGAACCTAAACTTCTGGACTTGAATCCGGACCTGAACCTAAATGTGGGTTTAGGTATGCAGCACTACTGGCGACCAGCTTTGATCTGGTCAACTATGCCCCAGTGAGAACACTCCCAAACTGGCTCGGTTTAGCTTGTGGTGTGAGTCCCAACTCCATTTGTACTAAGTACATACCTAATACCAGCCCAGAAGAGAACAAGAAATAGCCATGCCTTCAAGTACCAGAGTTATCAACCAAGGATTGAGGTGTTCAAGAATTCATTCTTTCCTAGAACTATCGAAGAGTGGAACTGACACTGTCACCAAATACAGTAGGGGCATTGTCATAAGATAGCTTTAAACAATGTCTAGAGTTAGAAGTTCAAGTGTAACTTAACCAGCTGCCACCGTGCCGCGTGCCTGCGAAGCTGGTGTGTTACGCCGAAAGGCGGTTATACCGGCTATACAGATACAGATACAGATTGCTGAGCCAGATCAAGCCGAATTGGGAGTTTTCCCAAAGGTGTAAAGTTGACCAGATTGAAACAGGATTGAAGCCAGTCGCCAATCTATTCGGCTCGATTCGGACAATTTTATTCTAGTGGGAAAGGGCCTGTGTTGATGTTACAGCACAACTCACAACACGGCTTAACTTCATTACTGAAGCTGCACAAATTTATTTATTGTATTTATTTCCTTAAAATTAAGTGTAGAAACATCTTGTATAACTGGAAGCCAACATTTGCAAGCAAGTTGTTATACAGTTGCATACATGGATGAAACGATAGATCAGAGTTTGTTTAAAGTGAAAACTTCTGTTCCAACACAGAGAATCATGCCTCTCACCTATAGTACCTACATGTAGAGCTTTCCACCAGTCACTCTGATCTTCTTCAGAAGGCTTGCCCAGTGAGACAATTATTTGTGTTGGAACAAGGATTTCAACTTTAAACCTGTAGCTATACCAACAGTCCAACACAGATGAGCTTTCCAGACAGATTGGAGTTTGTTTATGTAATAGGGCACCGCACTTCAAGGCTGCAATTTTGTTAAAAGGTTTTGAACAAAAGACACATTGTGTATAGTCCTGAATGCAATTTGGATGTTCCTTTCATATCAATTAGTCACAGCAGTAGTATAGCACTAACTGCTTGGTTTCTGGAATTTGTTTTTTTTTGTTAAGGGCTGATATAGATCTCAAGTAACACAAGAACTTCTTGTAAATCATATATATACATTCCAGGTCCCTTCAAATGTACTTCAATATATACATTAAGTGCTCCATGTACTACCAGTAAGTAGCACAGTAACTGATATAGTGATAGAAGACAGTGGACCTGCATAACTCTAACAACCAGAAACAAACGTTGCATTGTTTTGGCCCCATGCAAAGACATGCCTCGTGCTCTTAAATAACCTCTCAAGGTTGGCAGTTGAGAGAAAAACAAAGGAAAGACCAACCAGTCATGCCTGTGCGACTGAAAACTTCGAAAGGTGCACGTAACGCTGGCTACGCCCACTGTACACATTTCACAGACCACTGCACACGGCTGTTCACTACAGCGCGTCTGTTGTCAGCACCTGCCATTTGGTAAAGCCATGCGCACAGAATGGAGCCTCTTGTGTTGTGTAGTGAAGGTATACTAGTATATGAAAGTTTGCCCTGTAGAAAATTACATGTAGAGCAAGGTGGGAGTTCTCAACGATGCCTCACTACATGGAGCAAACTACATGGATCCACTGAGAAGTCTGGTGTACTTGTACACCCATGTACATTGTGTAAACTGTTTGATCTATTGTTTGTTATGCACAGTTCAAGACCTTGTGAATGGTACAGTGCAGTCGTAAGTCAATGTGTAATTGGTCTGTCTGACAGCTTTTTCTGTTTGTTTCAGGTCGGAAAGGGAATCGCAAATCTAGAAGGTTTGTACATAATTTTTTTAGTAAGGAGTTGTTTTAGGGACATAAGGATGATTTAGTTGGAGTGTTAGCTTTACACCATGAAATAAGAATTACTTGATGTGGGAACATGGACAAGTGTACATGTTTGTGTGTGTTGTGCATGTGATGTGTGTCGTGTGTTTGTGTGCATGTATACATTTGTGTGTATTGTGTTTTGTGTATGATGTTTGTGTGTATTGTGTTTGTGTGAATTGTGTGTATGTGCTTTATGTGTGTATGCGTGTGTGTGTGTGTGTGTGTGTGTGTGTGTGTGTGTGCGCCTTTTCCTCCTGTAATACAACAACCGGACAAGTCAAGAATTCCTGGGTGGATTTGTTATTTGGCATGGTGGTTAGGTCTTGATACCGCAGAATAATTTTTGGCCCCCTAGTGGCTTGTCATGGTACTGCCGCGTAACCTTTTGTAATCTTTTACAGGAAAGGGCCTGGGAAAAATAATGATGAATTAGAGGGGGCGGGGAGCTCAAAGGAAGGTAAGTGGAAGACTACTTAAGTTAATGCTTTAAAATTTCTAGTCTTGTATATTTTTGCAAATAAAATTTAGTAGTTTTCTACAGTTAATAATCTCTGCAAAAATCTAGAAGTATGTATTTTTTCCTTGCCATATTTGTTGGTTCTTGCTTCTTTTAAATTGTTCGTTTGCTTTGCCCTGGATCTGCCAGCTAGAAGTCCCATGCAATTTTATCTAAAGGTTTGTTTGGTTCTGTTTTGATTTGATGTAACCTTTGTTTTTTCTCCTAACTAGCTTTTTTTCTTCAACATTTTTATTTTACTTATCTTGAAAGTTCATCTGTGTCGGTAGAAATCATTATGAACAAGATTGAACTGTAATTGCAGACACAAAAAATTGGACTCATCCAAATTTTATTTTACTATTTGCGCTGTGCTTTGTTAAAAAAAATAGACTAGTGCTGCATGGCATCTTTGAGTCACAAAACATGATTGTTCTTTGATCCAAATTTAAACTTACGATTCAGCACATCTTGTTGTTTTGGATCAGAAGTTTGAATTTGAATCATGCTATGTACCAAAAAAGTAGTAGCATTGTTTGTTTCTGTTATACATGTATTTACCTAGGCTGGCCCATCTCAGTGTCATAACACTGCTTCACATTACATCAACTTTCATGTTATCATGCTTTGTTTCTGTTCAATGTATCTTGTTTCAGATCATTAAGTGGGCAATAAGTTGTGTCTTATTTTTCTTTCCTTTTTTATTTCATGACGTAGTGGCCAAGAAAGAGACAGTGCAGTGTAAGCCCTGTAGTGTAATCCTCACAGACATCCTCAAGGAGAGACCAGAACTCAGAACCATGTAAGTTTGGGTTACTAGAGAGTTCTTTCAGCAGTGACAAGGTTTTGAAGGGTAAGAATACTAACCTCCAAAATTGTGTTGCGAGACTCTTGGTCTATGATTTCAATAATGTCAGAGATAGGCTTGGTAGTGCAAGTCTATCTCGAGACTAGGCCACTCTGTGAACAAGATGGACTGTTATTCATTAAAAAATTTGGAGGTTAGTACTCTTACCCTTCAAAAACTTGTCACTGCTGAAAGAATCCTCTAGTAATTGTACGAGACAAATGAATCTCTTCGACCATGTAAGTTTGGCTGGACAGAGTGTCACTGGGCTCTGGTAAAGCTTTCATGTATTTAGTTTGTTTATTTGGTTATTTGGATTTGCCACAAAGTTGCGTTATCAAGAAAAGTTTACTTTAAAGTCTTGTGAATGTTGGCTTTTCCTTTATCATGTTAGCGCATGAGTTTTGCAAGTAGTCTTACTGCTGCATTTCATCATACATGTACATCAGGTTTTTTGTAGTAGTTTTTACTATATGGAGTTGTCGAAACTTGTTTTTAACTAAGCGTAAAAGGGTATGTTAACAGAAAAATGTCATTATGTACTTGCAGTGTTCTATGATTAAATTAAAAACATTCATGATGTGTTGTTTATGTCTCTGCAGGTCCACAGACACCAGAACGGCCATGGAAGGTGAGGATCACATGAATGCATTATCCATACTTTCAGTTCAGTTCATCCTTATGGTGACGCCATGTACTGCCTCCACAAGTTCCTGTCTTGCATGGTCAAAATCCATACTACCAAGTACCTAATACCAGCTCAGGAAAGAACCTTAGAAATATGCCTTCAAGCACCAGAGTTATCAAGCAAGGAATGAGGTGTTCAAAAAGTCATTTTTTTCTGTCACAAAGTTTTCCCAGTTGTCTAGGAGACAAAAAAACAACAACTAGAAATTTGGTATTTGCTAGCAACTGCAAAATATATCCCCCAATCCTACAGGTGTCAATGCCACTTAGCGGTGCCTCCTAGCAGAGAAGGTAGTACTGCAGCCTATCAGTAGGATGATGATCACATCCAAACGTAAAGAAATTATTCAATGAGCAACAAAAGTCATTCGTTTTTAGTTGAATTACCTTCACATTCTTTAAAAAATTTAATTTTTACTGAATTTTTTAACTCCCTAACCAAAGCTAATCAGATGCAACCATTGTTTTGGCTCAATTTAAGATTCCAGAAAAAAAATAAAATCTTTTGCAAGCAGTGCACCCTGACATGAAATGATTGAAGAATCTGGTTGTACAGTATGTGTAAACAAAGGCAGCAGAGAGATCTTTGACCTGTGTCCTTGCCAGATTGAATTACATGTATGCCCTGTGACCCCTGTGATGAACTCTTAAGCAACGACACATCCCTTTGCCACTAGAAAGCCCTTAACTATGGGTAGACCCACTTTAGGTATGTCACTAAAGGAAAAAAATAAGACTTTACTTTCTAGACCTAGAATTTCAATCAAGCAACTGTGGGCTTGTGCAAATCTTGAGGGAAACAATGCAGTGGAAGAGTTGTCTAACGAATATGCTGGCAAACCAACTGCTTACGTTTAAGCCAATTTGATTTAAGTGGTCTCCCGACCAGTAGCCACTCAACCGGTCTTGCAACTTGTTAGAGCACTGGAGCAATTTTAATGATTGTTATCAGGCACGGAGCAATTTGCCTCAGGCACAGGAACGAAAGGTCACAAATGTACGTTATTTATGCGGGTTCTGTGCAGGTCATGCATCACTGGTTGGGTATTTAGAACTAACAAAAATATTGAAGGTAGATTTTGAAAATGGCCAGACATTTCAGGTAGCTTTCTCTACTCTCTGTTCGTTCAATGGTGAAAGGTAATGGATGCTACCTGAAATGTCTGACAGTTTTCAAAATCTATCCAGTTGTTTGAGTAACAGTTGTTATGTTGGTATCTTATTATCTGGATGACCTCAAATTCAAATAAGACTAGGATCTTTTAAACTGTTTGGAATTTGGTCATTGTAAACTGGAACTTGTTGCCACCGAGTACAGTTGTGTGTGACTGATTGTTCACTATACCAGCCACTGCCATGCCATGTGCCTGTGAAGCTGTTGTGTTATGTTGAATTGCAATTATACTGACTATACAGACACATGTTAACTACAGCTGGTTTGAAGGGGTTTAGTAGAAACAGCGAAAACCAGAGGTCAATGACCTCAGTCATAGTCATACCTTCATCATTTGTCATTTGTGTTGGCTTGTTTATCATTAGTTTTTTTCTTTATCAAACCATTATTCAAAGTATGATATATCAAATCTGAAAGTGCTGCTGCAGTACTTTTTCTAGAATATCCATTATCGAACTTGACCTTTGTATTCCCCACCCCAACCTACCAATGAAAGTATAATGAAAACACAATCACAACATCAAACGTTATCCTGTTTTGCCTCAGAGCAGTTCCAAAAAGAAGCTATTTTGCTGAAAACCTCTAGAATGTCCATTATCAAACTTGACCTTGATATTCCCTACCCGAACCTACCAATTACAATGAATGACAGTTACAATTTGAACCCCCCACAGGTGCTTCCAGGCCGCTATCAGTTGGCAGCCAACCTGTCAAAAGGCAGGTGGCAAAAAAGTCCACAAGCAAGCCAGCTGGGTTCCAGGCCATTAAATGTCCATTACCAAACTTGACCTTCATATTCCCTACCGCAACCTACCAATAACAAGAGAATGACTGTTTCTATTTGAACACCCCACAGGTGCTTCCAGGCCGTTATCCAGCCAAACTGTCAAAAGGCAGGTGGCAAAAAAGTCCACAAGCAAGCCAGCTGGGTCCCAGGCCATTAGATGTCCATTATCAAACTTGACCTTCATATTCCCTACCGCAACCTACCAATAACAAGAAAATGACCGTTACAATTTGAACACCCCACAGGTGCTTCCAGGCCGCTATCCAGCCAAACTGTCAAAAGGCAGGTGGCAAAAAAGTCCACAAGCAAGCCAGCTGGGTTCCAGGCCATTAAATGTCCATTATCAAACATGACCTTCATATTCCCTACCTGAACCTACCAATTACAAGAGAATGACTGTTTCTATTTGAACACCCCACAGGTGCTTCCAGGCCGCTATCAGTCGGAAGTCAACCTGTCAAAAGGCAGGTGGCAAAAAAGTCGACCAGCAAGCCAGCCGGGTTCCAGGCCATTAAATGTCCATTATAAAACTTGACCTTCATATTCCCTACCCGAACCTACCAATAACAAGAGAATGACTATTTCTATTTTACTGCCCCACAGGCGCTTCCAGGCCGCTATCAGTTGCCAGCCAACCTGTCAAAAGGCAGGTGGCGAAGAAGTCCACGAGCAAGCCAGCTGGATTCCAGGCCAAGCTGAATGCTATGGCTTCATCGAGAGAGCCGCCGAAGAAAACGCCACGACTCGAGACTTCGCCGGAGATTGCTGTACAGAAGAAGACTCCTGCTGTCAAAGAAGGTGCAGTGACTATGTATATCTACAGATGTATAATTTTGAATGCTGCTACTTTAAAATTGCAAATTTGTAAATGATATCAATGTAAAGAAATTTTTTTTTTAACGGAGTGGTTCAATGCAAGGCCTATACGACCACTTCTTGGCATTGAACTAGAAATATGAGAGAAACATGTCTATGTCAAGTTATGGCAGTGAACATTTGATTTTGAAAGCCTGTAGATAGTAGGTTGGTTGAGAAATGGCTCTCTTTTAAGGTTTTTAATCTTCTGTTTAATACGATATTGTTTTTTGTAATTTAGCACTTATTCAGATTTGTCGGAAATATGCCAAATGCTAATAAAGCTTTCTCATGTCTAATGTCTTCAGATGCAGCCTGCAGGAGTGCAGCTTCTTCAGGTGAAAGTGTGGACAAGCAATCTCTGGGTTCTTCTTCTTCCTCTTCTTCGTCAAATCATTCCAAGCCACCTCAGGCCAACAAAGATGCCTCTGCTTCACAGAAGGAATGGCCTGTTGTGGCCAAGAAGTCGACCCATTCCATAAAGCGAAAGCTTGCACAGAAAGAAGCGCAACTGAACGGGGGGGAGAAACCGAAAAGCCAAGCCACAAACTCTGCGTCCAAAGATGAAGTCAAGTCTTCGGCATCTTCTAGTACTGCTCACAAGGTAGAGAATAAGAGTACTCCTCACAAGGAAGAGAATAAGAGTGCTAAGCCAGCAATGCCACCAAGTGCATCTAGTACATCCAGTACCCCTAGTACCGCCAGTACATCAACAAAAGAGACCAAAACTCAAAGTAGCACTGCCACAACTAATGGTCAAAAGCCTAAGAAAAAGTGCAGCTCGCTTCGAAGTTTGAGAGCGAACGAGTTGATGACCAGTTCCTTAGATCTTGGAGTTGTGCCCAAAAAGGCTGCCACTGTTGAAAAGCCAACAGACAAACCAGCTTCCACGTCACTACAGGAAAAGGCCTTGTGTTCTGATAAGACACTACTTTCAACAGCCACAAACGGTAAAATTCCAGTTAACCAGAAGGAAGACAAAAAGTCAAATGTGCAACATGTTAAAAGCGTTGAATATGTTGACAGGGTTACAACTGAGACAGGAAACACTTCAAAGTCTGGTCCTGAAAGAAAATCTGCAGCCCCAACTGTAACCAGTCTAAAGGAGGCAACAAAAGAGGAGATTGATCTAAAACAAAAGGTTTCACCAAAAGAAGAGCTTTCCTTTGGGCTAGAGATTTCTTCAAAGCAAGTTAACTCTCTGAATGAAGGGAATCCTTCAAAGCAAGAAATTTCTTCAAAGGCAGAGGATCCGCCAAAGCAAGAGGCTTCAAAGCAAGAGGTTCTGCCAAAGCAGCCTCCAAAGCAAGAGGTACCCCCAAACCAAAAGGCTCCTCGAAAGCAAGAGCTTCTGCCAATGGAAGATGTCCCTCCAAAACAAGAGACTCCTCCAAAACTAGAAGTTCCCCCAAAACAAGAGACTCTTCCAAAACAAGAGACTCTTCCAAAACGAGAGATCCCTCCCAAACAAGAAGTTCCACCAAAACAAGAAGTTCCACCAAAACAAGAAGTTCCACCAAAACAAGAGGCTCCTCCAAAACAAGAGGCTCCTCCAAAGGTAGAGATTCCTCCAAAGCAAGAGACTGCAAAACAAGAGGTTCCTCCGAAGCAAGAGAATACAAAGCAGGTTATTTCTTCAAACCAAGTGTTTCCACCAAAGCCAGAAGTTTCGACAAAGCCAGAGATTTCGACAAAGCCAGAGATTTCGACAAAGCCGGAGATTTCAACAAAGCCGGAGATTTCATCAAAGGAAGAAATTCCCTCAAAACAAGAGTTTAGCTCAAAGCAAGAGATTTCCTCAAAGCAGGAGGCTGCTCCAGGACAGAAGGTACCACCACAGACCAATCAACTCTCTGCACCAGTCACTGAGACCCTTACTTTACTGGACTATGCAGCTATGCCAACAAACCAGCCTGTTCCTTTAACTGCTCCAGCTTCGACCACAAGCAACCACAAGATGCCAGCACCAACCCAGCATGAGTCTAAACCAGCCGAACATGAGGTGATGGCTTCAACTAGTCCAGCAGAGTCTGTTCCAGTAAAGCAGGCTGTTTCTGTACCAGATCAGGCGTCTGTACAAAAACAGGTTGTTGTAGCCTCTACTCAGCAGGTGCCTATCTCTCTCCCTACTCCTGCCAGTAAAGAGTGCTCTGTACAACAAGTCATTCCTTCTGTTAGCCAGACATTGGTCAAGCCAACCAAGGCAGCGGCAAACGTGTCTTCGGTCTCATTCCAACCCGTGGCTATGCCAGTCAGCCACGTTTCTCTGCCAGTTGTGGCTTCTCCAGTTAAGGTGTTTAAAGTTGAGGTGGTGACAGTTGACCAGGCAGTCGCTACAGCCAACCAGCTTTCCGTGCCAAGAATCACGTCGGCACACCAAGCGCTCGCTTCACTCGCACAGAAAGTGGCCGCCTCAAGCGCCCAGGTTTCTGGTGCAGCCAGGAACGCACCTCTGGCTGCCCAGGACACTCCTACCTCAGGCAAACCTGTGACTGTCTCGGCTCCTCTGCAGCCTGCTCAAGCTGTACAGAAGACCACAGCAGCCAATGAAGTTTCTACCACACCCCAACAAGCCCCCTCATCAGCCACACAAGCTCCTTCTGCTTCTGATAGCCAACCTATGGAGGTAGACAGATCTTTAGCCACAAAAGCTTCTTCTACTTCTGGAAGACAACCAGTAGAGGTAGACAGATCTTCGGTCACAAAAGCTTTTACTGCTTCCTCGAGCCAACCGATGGAGGTGGACAATTCTTCTTCTTCATCCAAGCCACCCTCTGGTTCGGTGAAGGAAGTGCCAGCTGTAAGTCGAAGTAGGGAGACTCCTTCTCCTCCAGATCAGCAGGTTTCTAAACCAGAACTGGTCAAACAGAAATCTTCTGCTCCAGTCCAGAATGATGTTGCCTCGAATAGCGCAATCTCTGCTCCCACAAAATGCATTCCGTCACCAGTAAATCAGACTTTGTCATCTGGAAGCAAGGTGCCTTCATCTTCATCGTCTAAAGATGCCCCAGGCCAGACCAAGCAGCACCAGTCAAATCCAGCGAAGACTTCCACAAGAGGGACCAGTGATCCTTATGCGTCCAGACCTCCGCCACCTCTCATACCAGTGCAGAATACAGTGCCATGTGCCACGGTGAAGGGGACCAATAAAACAGGTGATGTTTTGAGAAGTTTTATTAGAGTTAAAACTTTAAATCCAACACAAAAATTCTCTCACCTAGAGTTTTCGACCAGTCACTCTGGTCTTCCTCAGTAGACTGACCCAGTGAGGCTTGTCACGTGGCTTCTTTGAAGTGTGACGTCAACACTGGGTCAAAGGTATCTGGTAGACGATGTTTTGAGAAGTTGAGAACATACATGAAAGAAGCTATGAGTAAATAACTTCATCAAGTTGGACAGAGAAATTATACAAAGGTTCAAAGTAGTGTAATTCTCGTGCCAATCTCGTGTATTTCTTGTGTGAAACATGTGTGTATGTTCATTGCTCATTGCATTAAAGACGGTCCCTCCGAGTTCTGTCTACTTACAACCTAAATCTTTGGAAAGCAGATTTTAGACTGTGGGGCAAAGTATTATAGAATAGATATCATTTTCTTAGTAAGGTTTGATGGTACCTTATTGTGTTTCAAATAAAATGATTTGACATACAATTTTTCATTTTCATTATCAACAGGTGCTGCCAACAACCCAAGTGAGCCAACTTCCAGACCTGCTGTGGAAAGTGAGGTGGTAATTGTGGAAGGTATGTTGTTAGCGTAATTTGTATTACCAGCATGTATGAATACGTCCGCATATAGTTCAGCGATTTGTCCACACGTAGTTCAAATTTCAAGTCTGTTTTTATGTTAATATGTAACTGGTGCTGTAGCAGACACCCTGTGGTGTTGGGATACACGTTCATTATGTAGCAAGTGGCAGGACAGGGCCGGACACATATAAACATGTTTCAGTAAGAATAAACAGTAGGAGTTTGTAAGGTTAGACGATTTGAGCTCAGGGTAAACACGATGCATTTGCTCTACAAATATTACCTTTCTACTTATATTTAGAACACAAAGAATTATGATGATCACAATGGTTAATTAATTTTTTTTTTTGCCTTTGTCTCTCCAGCATCAGAACCACAAGATACATCATCAAACTCTGGGAAGAGCAGTCCCCCCAGTCAGCCTTCTAGCACTTCCTCCCCTTCAATGGCTGCAACTAGTGATGCTGGCAGTAACAACCCACCAAAAAGCAGTACCCCTCCTAAGAGCAGCACCCCACCTACCAACAAACTAACAGTTGGCCCAGATACTAGGCAGCAGCCACAGACCAAACCAGATGCGGAACCTGTTGCCATTGTTATTGATGATACTCCGCCAACAACACGAGATCAGTCCTCTGCAGTACAGCAAGATCATGGTTTGCCTGGAGGGAAGAAGAGAGAGGGAGAGCCAAACCCTGGACGGCAAGATGCGAAGAAGCCGAGGTTGGACAACAGTGCTTCTCCTGCGTTTGTCAATAAAACTGTGGCAACTGTTGCAGGTGAGCTTGGTCGGGTTCCTTTATTGAGTTTATGAATGGGTTATTCTGAATAGATATTATATTTATGGGTGCTAGCGTAACAGAAATGAAAAGAAACCTACAGTGGGGGTCGCTGGAAGACAGACGAAGAATGTCCAGACTGTGCATGACTGAGAAGGTAAACATGGCCTTTGCTTTGCAATTGTTTGGTTATTCTTAATTTGTATTTGAGACCAGAATATCTGGATTGGTATTTCTGCTTATAAATAAAGCCTAATGACAAACCAACTAAGTGCTGCTTAGTGCTCTACCACATACATGACGTATTGTTGAAAAAAAAGACCGGTCCCCCTTCAGTTGACAGTACAAGCAGCTGGTCTGCCAAGCATGTTCCTGCCACCAGTGTTATACCATGTATAGTACTGTTGTTGAATAAAACTATTAAAAGACAATGACACCAGAGGGGCTGGTCACCATGATACAAAAATCAGCAGCAGTAGTTTACCATGTACAGGTCGTTGTTGCAATTGGATTTGGAGTAAAGACAAAGACCCTCTCCCCCCTATAGTTGACAGTACAAGCAGCCAGACTGTCAGGCATGTTCCAGCCAGTGCTCCAGTCACCAGAGTTGTGGGGACTAACACCACCTGGGCAACCCAGCCCCAACAACTGTTGGGGAAGGAGGAACTCAAAAAGGTTTGTTTTATTTATTCGCACATTGAATACGCACATAATAAAGATTTGGATTTTTTGGAACAGAGTCGTGTTCTATTTGGGTTACCCGAGGTCAATTGCGGGTGATTATTGTATAGTTTATTGTATGGATTGGGATGAATAACCTGTTTTGACTCTCTTTGTGACATTATGGCGCCATAAGCCTTGTTGAATGGAGCCTTCTGATAGGTCAACGTCACCAGGCTATATATGATGATAAAGAATAAAATGGAAAAAACTGCAGGAGGGGGTGGGAAGCCTAGTAGGCTTATTCTACTGAGCCCATCTCCTTTAGACTTGTAAATTTTGTCCATCAACGTTGACTGGTTTGGATTGGTTTTAATTTTTTTCTGTCACACACAACAAAGTTCCAGCAATTGATGGAAAAACAGGTGCTGGCTAGAGCCCTTAAAGGCACTCTATGTAGTTTTTTGCGCAAAAAATTGAAATATTCTAATTATACTAAATTTTGGTGTTATTAGCAGTTACTATCACTTTTCAACACATTTGTGTTATTATTTCACATTTTTTTCGTATATTTTGTCTGTTCAAACAGTCCTTCTTCAGTTCCCGGTGCCACCGGTTTGCTCAGGCAGGACAACAACAACAACATACAGGGGTTGCCCCCTGGGGTGGCTAATTGGCCCGGGCATGCCAGGCTCGATAGACAGGGGCAGATGTCACAAGATATACCCTCCTTAGAAAAAACTCATATCTTTCACATGAGGTGGAATATAATTATCAACTTAGAGTATTTTGTTGGGCATGAATAAACTGTGGCCATTATCCCTTCAAAAGAGATAAAAAATCTGGTAAACGATTAGGTATTTCAGAAACTGGTAAGCTATCAACTGACACCCCACTGGGATGTAGGTCAAACCACTGGGAGTGGACAATACCATATGTGTGGTTTGGCCAGAGGTTGAATAGAAGATCATTGATATTATTCACAGTTTTCTAAGCTTCTAAGGAGCAAGGATGTTGTATTTTTTGCTGGGGAGTATAATTTTGGAATACTAATGGGTTAAGCCAATGTACTATGTAAAGAAAAGAATAAAAAATATACTTTTTGTATTGTCAAAAAACTACATAGAGTGACTTTAAGTATGGACCAATCATTGAAAACAATTAAATGAAAACATGATAATCTACCTCTCTAGATGGTAGAAGAGAAGGTGGCCCATTGCACAGCCAAGGCGACAAGCCAGATGAAACAGTTCCAGGACAGAGTTGCCAAGCTGACCAAAGTGTGCAAAGGCTGGGAGGAGTATGCCAGGAAGCTCCAGGTATGATAGTTTGTTTCATTTATTTGCATATTAATCAATAGTTTGTGCCTATAAACTCTTCTGACAACTCTCCAGTGTCACTGACTAAAGGTAGTGGATGGTACCTAAAACGTCTGACCGTTTCTAAGATCATATCCAGTTTCTTGAGTAACTGTTTTTGGTGATGGCAACTTTATGTTGTTTAGAAAAAAAAGGCTTCAAATTAATTTTAATGTTTTCCTTTCTCAGACTGGTAAAATACATGCTCTAGGTTCTACATGCCATTGGTCTGCTGCTTTTTGCTGATTTGTAGAATAGAAACCCTGCTAATAAATTCTGTTGATAACCACATATTAACAACATGCACTGCCACAACTACATTGTACCCACATTGCCTTACATTGGAATGGCAATGTGTGCTTGCCTTTTACATGTATCTGTTTAGAGTCCATCTTACACATCATGCTTATATCTCCAGACCTCTGTCTCTCCTTTTTGCTGACTTCAAACACTGGCATACTTATGTGTAGGTCATTCTTAATTTCTTGGTTCCCAGATATTTGTGGGCTGAAAACAAAGAAGTCAAGGCTCGAAATACTTATTTCCTGCATACCTGTACTTATATTTGAAAATCACCTGCACCAGACTGACAAATTTTACCAGCACCACACATAATTTAAGAGTACAGATCACACTTGTACTAAAACTGTTCAGAAAACATTCAAAACAGTTCTAAGTTTACATGCACTAAAACGGCATAAGCAGGTGGTATTTCGAGCCATGAAAATAAAAGCAGACATTCTATGATAGTCACCCATCTACTCTTTTCTGCACAATGCATGTAAGTGCATGAATAAATCCAAATTTTAACATTATGGCGGATAACAGCTTACTGTTCAAAATATTTCAATAAAGGAGCACTTTCTGTAAGTTCAACAACTTGGCAGCCTTTCTTTAACTGTTACCAAAATGTAAACATTGGATGGCAATTGTGCCCAGGATGGTACTTTTCTGTTAAGGATCTATTTTGTCTTTTTTTCAAATCAGAAAAAAAGGCTGAGACTGAATCTGTTAACCAAGAAATTAAAGGTGAGAAAATCATAAAAATCATAACGGAATGAGACAGAGGAAGCTACATGTACACTACACACTCGATATTTAACACGTACTAATATATAACCCCACATTCCACTAAACCTCACATTAACAAGTCATTAGGTTTTGTATGCTAGAGAACATAAATGATATGCAACAATTGTCAAGAGCCTGTGCATGATTCACATCATTACGTAAGGCCTAGAAAAAATGTTGTTTCCTGTTCCCCGACCGACCCCCCCAAAAATTGGCGACCCCAGCCTTTTTTGGGGGGACCCCTGCAAGGGACATTCATTTTTTGAGCCGATCGACCTTTTCTAGCTCCATGATCTGACACCTTAGTGATGAAACGTTGTACAATCATTTCGAACATTGATAACATTCCAACATTGAAAATAAAATTGTCCTTATGCAAGTTTGACTTTCTTAAACTGTATTGTACAAGTTGGAGTAGAAGTTGGATCACTAGAGATCGACAGTCTAATAAAAAAAGAAAGAAAGAAAAAAGATAATCCCTACCTACCAACCCTAATTTTTCAGCACTGAAACAGGAAACACAACATTTTTTTCCTAGGCCTAATTCACATCAATAACAAATATCCTTGAAAACCCTTTTCTCTGCTTTTCTCAGCAAAAACTGGTGACGATGAACCAGGAGCAGGATAGGTTAAAGAAAGAACTGAAGAGACGGCGAGCTCTGGGTTCCAGGCCGGTGGAAGTGGGTGTACAGGTGGACCTGATACCGGTAAAAATTTTTTTTTTGTCCTTTAGGTTTTAACTTCTGGGTATGAGAGTATTGCTTTGGGTGACGGAGGTGTGTGTTTGTGTCTGTGCTTGTCCTAATGGATCACTGGAAGAATAGCTAAGCTAAATGCTAAAGCTAATCCAAATAAAGCAAAAAGTCAATAGCTTCAGTTCTGTGGTGGGTGGGAGGTGATTCTGACAGTTGATTGACACCAGTACTCTTTTCCCTTATTAGTTTTTAACTTCTGGCAGTGGTAGAAATTCTTTTTTTGCAGTTTTCTGCAATATTGCAGAATGTCAAAATTATGTTCTGCAGAAATACTTTCTGCAAAATACACACTTCTACACCCATGACATATACAAAATTGCATGTTGCGATGTTGCATGGTATTCCACTGTTGCAACAGTGCCTCCTACCAATTATTTACAGTACTGCATATAGTGAACGAATGAATGACTTGAAACTTTTGTTATCGTGCCACTTACTAAGTAATTTTCTTGTTGTCAAAGTGTTTTGCATTCGCTTGCAAATATTACCTTCTGATGTGCATATTATGATGTTGCAAATGTTGCAATAGTGCCTCCTACTGATTATTTACAGTACTGCATAATGAACAAATGAATATTGCATACATTTATGTCATTGTGCCACTTAATTTTTGTATTGTGAAAAGGCTTAGTGTTTTGCATTCACTTGCAAATATTACCTTCTGATGTACACATGTGTATATAATGATAATCTTTTTTATTGAACATTTGCAGCAGCCCACAGCGCAAGTTTCGAGTTCCCAAACTTCAAGTAGACAGACTGTGAGCTCAACATCAGCCCAAAATCCTGCGGTAAGTTTTCTAAAAAATAGTAGATTCAGTACATATTTGGGCAGTCTAATCAATCAATGTCAAATCAAGCTCTTTAGTCACTAAATCATCATTCATTGAAAGTTGAAGAAGAGGAGCCAAAATGTTGGAGATGGGCGGTTTAAGAATTGTTGAACTCTTTGGCAAACCTGTACATGCTTTTTTTCTGGCTAGGCTGACAGCAGTGCCCCCATGCACTCTGATGTGGCACTGCAGCCGAACACTGTAACAGTAACTGCACCTCAGCCAGCTCTGGTGGGTCTGCACAACTGTGTTTCACAGGTGTGTCAGTATAACCAAAACACACCAATTTTATCATTTGGTTCTGGGATCTGCCTGCATCATTTTTCAGATTTGCTATTAAAAGAATGAGGTTCTAAATCAAATCCAAATCATAATAAAGTCATATTTTGGTCCCAATTGTTTAAGAAAATCCCTGTCTTCCTTGTTGATACAGTTTTTCGACATCTATCAATGCAGTGGTTTGATGAGTTCATTTGCAAAGTTCATTGTAAAATTGTAGAGCAGCATGGTTATTGGCTCCTACCATACTTGATTTTTTTTGCCCATTTGGCTAAATTTCACTTTTTTTGAACCCATGTTTTGGACTGGTAGAGACAGGAGATAGAAAAGTCTAAACAAACTTGCTCAACTTGATCCAAATCTTGTACCTCCACAGGTCACAGTGGCCGTCTCCAGGCAGCAGCAAATTGCGCCGAAGCCTCCTGCTCCTGTCGTGCCTGCCTACAACCAACCCCCTCCTGTCCAGCGGGTAACCACGGCAACCGTTTCCACGGCAGCCGTTCCCATGGCGACAGTGCAGGCCCCCAACGTCACGATTGTCCAGCCTCCAGTACAGGCGAGGAAGAACATGATGGTGAAGGACCTGATCGGGGTCCAGAGAGCAGGGCCACCTCAGCCTCAGGTATTTTTTTTTAATGATTCTTTTAATGATTTTTGTCTTAAAAATTGTCTACTAGTTTTAAAGGAAAAATTTTGTGGTTTTTGAAAAAAAAAAACGATTTTTGAAATTTATTTGT